GGTACCCTACTGGGATTCACTTTAACATATCCTTTCAAAGTAAAAGGCTCTGTTCCAACAAAGGACATTTATAAAACCAACGGATCATCTTGAGAAAAACAGAGATAAGGGGAGTCAGGCCAGTAATTCAGAATCAGACCTGGTCTAAAAACAGCTATCGGCCCATGCTGAGCAGCAGAGTTATAGCCACATTAAAGCAGAACCCTTCACAGAAATACAGCCCTGGACATAAAAATTAGAGAGTAAAGGTGTGTGTGTGCATGCTGGTGAAATTAACACACAACACTCTTTTATAGTCTCCTATCATGACTTCGAACCATTTCTGGGAGAAACACTTCACATTGAGGTACAGTGGGGGAAGAAACACAATGCGGATAATGAGCCCTGAATATCATTATCAGAACACACTATGGGCTGCATGCTCCACATGGTTTATTATGCTTGTTAAAACTGCATTCATCTATCCCTCTGTCATCGACTTTCAAAAATGTTCTTGGAAGAGCAAGACAGCTCACTGTTTAGAGTTCATTCAGACAAGATCATTTAGTGAAGGAAACTTCAGTTTTTTTTCTTTTTTTCAATGTGCCGAAACTTTTGTTATAAATAAATTAAATCCAGGAACATAACCTTGGACAATATTGTGTAGTAAACTCTGTATGTCCTCGTAAGTATAAAAAAAAAAAACCCAACTACATTTAATTAGTTTATTATAATAGGGAGTTCTGCCATGGGAATTAGCCACAGCTAGTCCAGACATGGATGTATAGGAGAACAGGAAGCGTCAAACTACACAAACGTATTTAGGGAAAATAAATTACATTAGATGATGTGACCTTCGAAGACAGTATGGGTGGATGTAACAGACAAGAAAGAAACCAATACTGTATTAACTATTTTACACACTGCTGAACTAGTAAAAATGTGAGCTGTAGTTACTTAAAAAATTGCTAAATGTTCCACCACTAAAATATATTTGTACTGTAAACCCCAGAAAAACCGTTACACTTACTCTCATGCTAACAGTTAGAAAAAGGTGATATGAAGACTTCAGCTCTCTATGGCAAAATCTTGTAGCTTCTTCCCTAATGGCATCTCTCCAAAAAAAATGCATGTGTCTTTACATGTGTGTATTCAGACCTAATGTGTGTAGGTTCTGTTCATGTGTGTATATACTGTGTATATTAAGCATTAAGCATTTGTATGACCACTAAATGTTTACTTTAGATTGTAGATCACCATGTCAAATGCCTCAGGGTAGTTATTAGAATAAAGTACAACTTACACTATATAATTTTGTGCAACATCTTCCCAGTTACTTTCCCCAAAAAACTGCACAAGACAAAACAGACTGAGGCTTCACACAGGCCAAACACTTTCACTTTAACTTAAGTGGTTAGTTTGAGTGGAGAAAGTGGGCAGGATAACTTTGCACTTTTGCACCGCTGTGCCAGAAAACATTAATCAATCCTCAACTAATTAAATTAATCTATGTCCAGCTATACAGCCAGTGCTACATAGGGCATCCCTTCTGCCAAAGCCTTCCTCTTAAGAGCCAGTGATTGTTGTACCGAGCTGTAGCAAGGGAGTGAGGCTGCTATGTACAGCACACCAAAGCACTCTTGGACAGCCATGGTGTTCAAGCCCAGCCAAGTATCATCAAAGTGCCGGTTTGGCAGCTGCCCTGAGGGAAGGCCGCCAAGGCCAAGTAAGGTTCTAAACCTGACACAACTACACAAGCAGAGGAAGGTGTTAAAGGCATGTCCGCTGGGAGCGCGTCTCCAGCAGTATCATATCGGACGATTACGCTTAACTCTCGTTTAACCAGGCCACAGGACAGAGGACATCTTTTCCACGATGATGAAGGAGGCCAACACACCAAAAAACGTAGGCGTGACAAAACCCAAAGAAACAGGACAGATAGGGTTAATTTAACATGTGTCCTCCATCAGAACATCTTCCTGGTAACTGTATGTGCTACCATGAAACAGGTTACATAAGCTGGGGTTTGCTTTGGTGCTGGGGTCTGGTTTTAATACAACCAGCAGGCACAGCAATATTTCTTGTTGTCGTAAACAACAGCACAATACACAGTATATGTTTTTACTAGGGCTGTCAAGTTAAAAAAAAATTAACGCCACTAATTATTTTAACGCGATTAACGCATGTGTATCTTTTGTCCTCGGCCGCCCCGTAGTTTCAGAGCGCATCGAGTTTAAAATATCATCGACAAGCTGATGCTGACAGCCCCGCTCCTGCCGTCCGCTTGCGGCAGACCACACTTCCAGGCACCGACTGGCCATCGGGAGGACCGGGAGGGTGTGTGTATGTGTGGCGCGAGCGAGCGAGAGAGAGAGAACGGGCACACCTTACATGTATTGCTGTTGTTAGCATCTGGTGCTAGCTAGCTGCGCTAACGGATATAAGGAGCTGTTTCAATGAAAACAGAGGAGCGACATTTCGCCGACAACTGCGCCGAGCACTTGACTTTATGCAGGTAGCCAGACAGTGAGACATTGTACGATAAGTCAGCACACTCAGCACGGATAGTGCGCGCAACATGATTGCAGCGTCCAGGCAGCTCCTGTTCGAGCATATGCCTTGAGTTGCACATAGCTCCAACGATCCATCACAGTGTCTCTCTCCACACACACACACACACACACACACACACACACACACACACACACACACACACACACACACACACACACACACACACACACACACACACACACAGTATTCCCTATCATCACAACACACACACACACACACACATCACACCCACACCCATAGCATTGGCACACACATTTGTATTGTAGTTGTATGAGAGGTTCCAGGTTTAATTTGAGGCGAATATTTGTAACTTTTCGGAGTTGATTGAAGTTATAATATTCCATGAATTATTGTCATTGTTCAAATGATAATAAACAATTAACATATATAAAAAGCATATGTTGATCCACTCATATGTTGATAAGAGTACTACAAACTTGAAAAATATCCCTCTAAGGTACATTTAGAACAGATAAAAAATGTGCGATTAATATGCGATTATTTTGCGATTAATCGTGATTAACTATGGACAATCATGCGATTAATCGCGATTAAATATTTTAATCGACTGACAGCCCTAGTTTTTACAGTTCTTTTTTTTTTAACATATGACACAAACGAGATGTTACGTTTGGATTGTGGTTATTTTACCAAACTTTTTACTGATTTAGACAAGCGGTTTCTCCCCTTTTCCAGTCATTTTACTAAGCCAAGCTAGCATAGAATGGTATCAATCTTCTGGTCTAACTATCTGCAAGAAAGCGAACATTCGTGTGTTTGATAATAAACTTCCAATTTATTCAAAAGTTCCGGAAATGGTCCAACCTTATAATTGCTGTACATTTAAGTGTTCATTGCATTACCCTAGCACAGTGTTTCTCAAAGTGTGGTCCGCGGACCACTGGTGGTCCGTGAGCGCCCCCTAGTGGTCCGTGAGTATATTAGTAACATTTCACTTTTGAAATACATTTAAATTGTCCGCACTCTCACGGGAATATCTCCGCAATGGAGCGAGCTTGACTTTCGAATGCATGATATAGCCCAGTGCAACACCTTCGTCACACATGTTGCCACTTGTTTGTACTATTTCCAGGCGATTTGTAATCTGTTCTAGAAAAACTGTTTTTTATTTGTATTTCAAGAAGCATATAGAACAAACAATGGATGTATTTTAAGAACATTTATCCATGCTTAAATTAGATTTAGATGTTTTAGGAGTTATATAGAGATTATATATCTAATATATGCATCCAATGAAGCTTCATCGTATGAAGTCTGTTAATGATCAGAGGCTGTTGTTGAGGCTGCATAAACGTTTTTTTATTTTTGTTTTGTAGGCAGACCATGCAGGCCAGCCCGATGGTCACCAAGGTTCATGTTTTAATAGCATTTTTACAAAAAAAGCCCAGGCGAGCCTAACATGTGAAAAAATGGCTTAGGCCTCAGAGAGTTAAACTTGGGCCTGCAACCATAGTTTTATTGTATTTTGTTTTGAAAATCCACAGCGAAGGTTTGTATCGTACTACATGCAGTGTAATTTGCATTTTGTTATAAACTGTTGAAATGATAAGCAGGCCTATTGTTTCTGCATATTTGGGGAGTTAGGTGGTCTGCGAGTGTTTTTTTATTGGTTAAGTGGTCCTTGGTATGAAAAGGTTTGAGAAACACTGCCCTAGCAGGCAAACTTGATTTCACAATTCTTTCAAAGCTTTGAGAACCAGAAATGAATTTCCATTCAGTTATTTTCTCTAATAGTTGAGGCATTAAAGAACTCGACCACTGAATATTTTGAGTAAGGTAACACTTTTAGCAACAAAGCTAACCGCCCAAGATTGTGAGTATGACTGTCATGCATGAATGAAAAAAAATCAAGATTCTCAGCAAATTAGATTTCATCTCGAAGGCAACGGTATGGGAAAGTCTTCAGATCCATTCAAACAAGCTGCTTGCAGAAATCATGGACTGTATAAATGGCTGAAATTCAAGGTACAGCTTACCCCAAAATAATGTTGAATGTGTTTGTCTATATCTGAGGTCCAGATTGTTTCCCTGCATCTAATGCATACTCAGAATGACTTTAGTCTAGGGAATGGATTTATTTGGAAATGATTAAAGTATCTAATTACATGGCTTAGTTGAATACTCGATTCTGATTGGTCAATTTTAACATGTCAGAGGTTGTTCATTTTTCGCTGACAGACCGCTGCTAAGGAGAACAGACAATTGCTCAGGAGAATCAAGGGTCTATATGGGTCATATCTATCTGCAGAACAAGTCTTGTCCCTTATTTGTTAAAGGAATTATGTTTTAAACTGTTAAGGCTTTTGCTACCTACTACTGCCTCTTCTTATTCATGTTGTTCGGCTTTTGAAAATAATAGACACATGGACGGACAGAGAGAATGATACACACATACACACTGCCTGGACACATTAAAAAAGATTGTCTTAAAGGTTGCAGGCAGAGTTATGTAGTCCAGAAACTGGAAAGAAACTCACCACTTTGTCCTCCTGCAGCCCAGTCAGCCATCCATGTGAAATGAAAAGAAAGACAGAGAGAAGGTGAGCAAAGATGATATCTGAAAGCATGGTAATGATACGACAGCCCTACAGTGAACAATGTAATAAGCAGAATCAGAAAACTAAATGTATCCTGGGTGAAATGGGTTTTATGCTCTATTAGAGTAAGAATTTACAACAAAAACATAAGATTAAATAAATATATTTATATAGATACAATAAATTAAAGTAAAATGTCCAATAAAATAGAGAATATTAATGTAAATATAAGAAGCTTTTTTTTTAAATACATAGATACTGTATCTCAGTTTTCAATAATTTTATTAATAAACAATTTTTATTTTAAATAATAATAAAAAACTACCACTAAGATCATTAATTGGACATCCACATTTGATGACTGCCGCTCAAAAACTGCATTTCTTTGTTCTCTTTTGTATTGCAAACTCGTTGCCTTTGAACCAGGAGAAAATGGCATACCACAATATGAAGGATGGGGATGTTATGGAAAAGGATACACTCTAATGTTTTGGCTGACGAACCCTTAGAACCTGATCTGCGAGAGCAAACCCCGACAGGTGGTGCCACTGCTCAGATTGTGCTCCAGTGCCAACAGAAACTAAATCATTCTGCTGCAACGAATGTCAGTGAGCATTTTATTTTAGGTTAGATGCTGTTTCTGACAGAAAGCTGGTGTGCATTCCTATGTATTAAATTTTTACTCGGCAGTCGAACAAAGGTGTGCTGGAGACTCTCTTCAGGATCCTGATACTAAACTAGAACCAGCAGGGCTAATCTTACTAATCAACACCACTTTGTGATTTTTTAAGCTTAAATGGAATCGGCAGAAGTAAAAAGCAAAGTACATCACGGTCACATGACTTCACGTCACCACCGCTAAGCTAAAGGCTTACTTGTTTCGGCATGATGGCGTTAAGTATTTAGAAACTTCTTAGCAACCATTGTTTTTATGACACGTGGACATTCACCAGTGGAGTGTTTATCCTGACATATTTTATGTCGTATGACAAAACGGGAAAATCTCTTAAACTGGTGTTAATCTCAGATCTTATCACCACGTTAAAAAAACATTGACTACTAGACGCAGGAACCGGATGTGGTAAAATGCTAAGTCTTTTTAGGTTTTAAGACTCATTACTTTACCACTCTATGTGGAATAAAATAAAACGTTGTTGTCGTGTTAATTTCGAGCTGTAAAGGATTACAGTGACTGCATTTGTGCACATCAACTACACTTTGTGTTGGCTCGGCATCAGTAGCTCACACGCAATGCATCCTGCCAAATGTAGTCACTGTGAGCAGGAGAACTCTAAATCTCACTAATTAAAATGTTGTTTCTTTTTAAGTATAATGAACACATAGAAATGTAAAAATGACAAGCATGAGAAGTTAGAGTTTAGAACAGAGAGTGGAAGGCTTTGGCAGAAGTGTGTGTGTGTGTGTGTGTGTGTGTGTGTGTGTGTGTGTGTGTGTGTGTGTGTGTGTGTGTGTGTGTGTGTGTGTGTGTGTGTGTGTGTGTGTGTGTGTGTGTGTGTGTGTGTGTGTGTGTGTGTGTGTGTGTGTGTGTGTGTGTCATTAAATGCCAAACTGGCGATGTAGGGGTGGGGAATGGGTGGAATAGGGGGACGTCACTTATTTCAGAGGAAGACTTGTCTACCGATGCCAACACACACACCTCCCCCCTGCTGTGTGTGTATAGGGCACCTCCGGACCCCTGGGAGAAAGAGGCAGAGTGGGAGATCACCCCCTCCGTCCACAACTCAGTGTAATGCCCAATTAACCTTTACCAGCTCATGCCTGGGTCACACACACATGTACACGCATTCACACACATGGGTGGAGGCACACATAAATACACAGTAACACACACAGTGTTGACACAGTATATATCAACACACATGCAGAGCAAACTATACACTTGCTTTTTCACACATTAGGGCACACTTAGAGTATGTGTCATGGCTCATCACCTCCACCTGAGTTCCTATACCTGAGACCATCATATAGCGGAATCAGACACAGTTGCATGTGTGACAAGTTTATTAACAAGGTTTGAGAGGGATTACATGTAACTGGATTAGGTGATACAAAAGTAAAGTCACTGTATTCCCTTGGATGGAGATCACTAGCAGTATCACAACGTTTCTTTTAGTTTAAAGAGGCCCTATTATGCTTCTTGGGGTTCTCCTTTTCCTTTAGTGTGTTGTATAGGTTTTTGTGCATGTAAATGGTCTACAGAGGCTAAAATCCACGTGTTCCCTCCAGAGGGAGTTTCTCTCCCACACACTCGCCCCCTGCCTGAAACGCCTCCATTGGATGTTTAATTATTTAACATAATGACATCACTATGTTACACTCACGCTTCTATTGGCTCGCACTCCAACACATGGTACATAGGCTAAGAAAAAAGAGGATAAAATAGGCACAAAAATAAGAGGAAATCTAAGCCCCCCAAATTCGCCAAAAATTGATTATATGATACATTTGATAAAGATATGATCATTTATGATTTCACAGGCGCCATTACGCTGACACACTGTGCTCCAACGTCACCCCAGCTCTGGCCTCTCTTACCGTGTTGGACCGCAGCGACACTCGCCCCCCGCAGCGGGCGCAGAACTTGGTCTGGCAGTACGAGCACAGGTTCCCGCAGCCGTCTGCAAACTTGGTCTTGTGGCAGATGCCGCAGGTTGGGGCATCGTCCCGGTGAACGGTCGAGCCCGCCGCCACCGTGGCCTGCCGGATCACCGTCTCCCTGTAGCTGGACAACTGCTGCTGGATACCTCTAGAAGACAGAACAAGTAGAAGGAAACACATTAGTATTGAGCCAATGAGCAAATACACAACACGACTCATAGAAACCCTAACCCTAACCCTACTTTGTACAATCAGTTGATCCATAAGCATTAAGGAGACAATGCACATTACAGTAGATACAATTACATTAGAGTAGATTAGATTAAATTACTTTTGATTTTTTATTACGATTCAACGTTATTGTCAATGCTCACAGAGTACAAGTGCTGAGAGAACGAAATGCAGCGAGTAGTACTGTTAGCCCGTTTGCTAACACTACTACTTTTCGTGTCAACACTTGCGATTAGGACGGTGGCCAGTCTTTACGAGTTGACGTTTTGTTGTTGGTTGAGAAACATTGACTCATCACATGGCCATAGTATGAGCGTACTTCAAACATGGTGTGACCATGTAAAGCTTTACTTTAGCATCGCCATGATTTGAGCCAGATGCTACATGCTAATATGCTCACAATAACATACTGATAATTGACGTTGACCATGTTCACATCTTTATTTAGGTGTTAGAATGCTGCTTTTGAACGGCTCTTTGGTATGAACGAAGGGAACCGAGTCGTACTTGGTGAGAGCCGTTCTTTTTATCGTTGGTTCACTGCCTGCCATAAATCCACTCGCATTTAAAGGAACTTGCTTTCCTGAATGCAAATGTACACATCCTGCTTGAGTAGTAGTTTGGCTGGCTGAGAGATGAAGCAAGTTATAAAAAATTTCTGTGAGTAAGAGTAGATTTCTGACAATACAGTCAATCATTATCCTGGTGATTATTTTGCAGATAAACCTATTAACCCCGCCCTTTGAAAAAAAAACTGCTCTTTTGAACGACTCTTTTTAACGGAGCCATAAGATCCGACTCCCTTCAAAGGGCCGTGATTCCCATCACTAGCTACTACTGTAATAAGCATCAAGAGTGAAGTTAAGCTGAGGCTGAGGGGAATTTCTTTAATTTTGCTGGTGTTTAGTTGTAAGCCAAACTATGGCTGAGCAATTAATTACATTTTATTAACATTTAAAATGTTGGCCTCTGTCTTTTATACAGAATATAATGGGAGATAGAATTATTATTTACTTGCATTTAGTTACACCATTATGCTCTTGTTATGTCTTGTGTTATAAATCAAACAGAATATTGCATTTAGTAGTTTACAGTATGCAGTCGCTGTACAATATGACATAATTATTTTTTTGTTTTTATGTATTTTATATTTAAATATATGTGTGTAAATATATATAGTGATATTTTATTGATTTGTTTTATTTATGTATTGACAAAATAGCATGTCAAGTTAAAAACAGACAGTAAAAAACAATAAAACAGGTTTTAAAATGTATGATGTTTCTAAAGTCAATGAGCAATTGTGTTAAATGACCGTGATCTAAAAATTGCCAATTAATCATTTTGATTATGATTTTCTCGACACAATAAAGCAGCCCTAAACAGTGAAAATGGAAAAATATATTATTGAAAGTTAAGGAACATCTAAATTCCAGATAATCAAGATAGTCATTACGGTTCATCCTCTGGGGACCTATAATTCTGTACCACATTTAATCGCAATTCATCTAAAGCAAGTAGCAGTCATTTTAGTCCTAACCAAAAATATCAAAATCATAGTCAGTGGATCACAAAGGTTTTGCCGATTACGAGTGTATAGAAAAGTCATGGCAATCCACCCAATAGTTGTCAAGACATTTTGTTGGACCGAAAGGTGTGGACAAACCAATTGACAAACTAAAATAAAAAACAAATGTGTTTAGAAATACAAATTGTTCATCTCCTGTAAAGAAATGGATTGAGATCATGACTCCAAACTACTCTTTTGATCCAATAGTATAATCATTCCATAGGAATTCAATCAACTTTGAATCCCACAAGTTAAAGGATGATCACATGCGAGAAAAACTAGATAGGAATGTTGATTGTAAATAATAAATAAATGAGAGGGAAGCGTAACTAGAGAGCGAAGGAGAAAATTGTTGCGTGAAGGCCAGTCGATAAAATGTTCTCTGTGCTATTTGTGTGTGTTTTGTTTTTTGTGTGCGCTATTGTTTCAGGCCGCTTTGCAGAACTCTTCAAATCAATAAGAGAAAGAGAGGGGGAAGAGTATTGGTTTTATCTGAGTCGCTACAGTATGTTGATTTATTGGATTTCACACTGTTGAGATTGAGGAGAGAGCAAATAGAGGGGAAACAGACCAAAGAGACAATACTGAGTAAAGAAAGAGGAGAGGAGTGAGGCGAAAGTGATAAGAAAGGAAGAAAAACATGGAGAGGTGTGGAGAATTACCCAGATATGGAGCAGAGATGTGGTGAGTAGAGACAAATAGACAAAATAGGGAAGCAATCAAGGAGAGGAGGGAATAAGAACAGAGCAGTAAAGGAGAAAAGGAAACAATTGGTGTGAGAACAAAATAAAATAAAAAATAAACCCACTTTACAAGCTTTTAAAATGTTCTTACAGTAACACTGCCCATCATTAAAGGACTACGGAGATAGGAACCAATGGAGGGTGGAGTAAAGGAAAGAAGAGGTGGATAGGATAAAAGGAGAAGAAATAATAAAGTATGAGATGTTTAGAAGTGAAAGTGATCCCCTTTAAATATGAAAAAAGTCATGAAATCAAACATATGAGTCAGTTTAGATGCCAAATATAACTGCCAACAGTCATTTGACAATCAATCCAAAATGAACAAAGTTAATAAAATCAAGTAAGAAAATAAAAAATACTCTTGACCTTAACTAACATAATACAGAGTATTGACGAAAACATACTGGACTACGAGTTCAAAAATGTCACTCTCACATTAAACCTCTGCCCGGTCCGTCAACCTGCCCTGATCAATAAAGCTGTTTACCCTGCCGTGATATTAAAAGCCTTTCATATCATCTGCTGCGGCTGCACACGGTACTCACAGACAGGGAGTCAGCGGCGCAGCTTCCTCCCCCATCAGCCCAGCCGTTAAAAACTACAAATCCCATCAGTAGAGGCACAAGAAAAGGAAGTCCAACATCCAGTCGTTTGATAGACAACCCGACATTGCTCCTGTGTGTGTAACGGGACAAACTGTTCATCTAAATACAGCCTGAAGAAGAGCCTTTAAAGTTTAAAGACTCAGAGGACCCGGCGGGTGAAACACTACTCGCCCAGGAAATGTTAATACCTGCCCACACACACACACACACACACACACACACACACACACACACACACACACACACACACGTTTTATTTTGTAATCACACGAACAATCATGCTAACCCACCGCTGATATGTTAAGTGCACACACACAGACTTCTGGGTGAGCAGTAGCCAAAGGTCACGGTGAGGTCACCTGCTGCTGCAGCACCACAGGGGTCACTTCCTGATCCTGGCTCTCACTGTGTGTGTCCCAACCCATATCAGTGAGTAACACTGATGACTGGAGCTAGTGTCATTGACTCAATGTTTATTGATCAATACTACATTGGCTGTTTATGGGAGCTTTTAAACTGAGTTGAATCTGGTTATTTTGGTCATATTCCACATGAATATTATGGGTAAGGTTTTGATTCTGGGAAGATGTTAAACAAGCAGTGCACCTCAGACTTGAAGAACATTGGCCAATGCTATAGCTCAGCTTACAAAGCTTAAAAAGGTATGGAGGACATTTCCAACACTACCCAAAAAGTTAAACTGACAAACCCATTACTTGCAAAACCTGGATGTAGAACACCAACATGGAAAAGAGAGTAGATGCCTTTGAAATGCGATGCTGCAGCAGGATCCTTGGGGCGCCATGGGAAATGCACCCTACAAACAACTCTGTGAAACAGGAGATACAGACACTGGCGGGGTTTTCTCGAAGTACTGACGGAAACGGCTAGACGGCCAAAGTGACAGTGCTTTGGACACATTATAAAAACAAACGGGATTTTAGCAAACACGTCATTTCACGGTTCAGTGGAGGGAATAAGAGGTGCAGGAAGGCCAAGGGGAGAATGGCTGATGGACATAAAGAGGTGGACGGGAAAAATAAATGTTCTGTCGAATTGCAAGTTACAAGCTGGGATTAAAAAGCACACATCTTTTATTTAAAATGAAATGAGTGGAATTAAGACGGAGGAACGGACACTTTGTGATATTGGGCTGTATAAATGATAGTAGCTGATTGGTTGAACATGGGCACTGCTAAGAAATTGTGTATAATATTGAATGTATTTGCTAAGAGCGTCAAACAATACATTGGTTTCTGTTTCTAGGTTCCAACTTGAGGGAGTGATCAAAGGAATTCTTCCATTCCGTAACACATTTTCACAGATTATTCCGACATCCCATTAAAGCAGTACACATGCTATATCTTGCAAGCTAACAAAAGTAGACATTATTTGTATAAAGGGTTCTTCCTTGGCCCTGTCAACAAAGTTTCATCAAAACTGGCCAAGTTGGCTTTCCGTAATCCTGCTGCGGTAGACGAATTGGAAAACAGACTAACTGGGCCAAAGACATAACATCCCCCTAAGAGAAGGTTATTCTTTCATCACATGCTAAACAGTATGGAGTCTAAAAGTCCTCACTAAAGTATATGGTTGCCTGTCAATGATCATTTACATGCGTAACTGTTATCATATACAGGGAATAAATCAAGTACATCTCTGCTAATTAGTAAACCACAACAAGCCGTCAAATGAAATGTTGCAGGTACGGAAAAAAAAATCTTTATCACATGAAATGCCGGGAAGAGGGTTTTGGCAGATCATTATGAGAAGGAGACATGGGGAGGTTAAAGCGAAGGGAGGAGAAGGATAGGCATAAAGACTGGGAGAGAAATCAGAGAGAAATGAAACAGAAAAGGAGCTCATTAAGAGGATGCTGGGAAATATCCATATTCAAATGTAGTAAGAAACAAGGTTAAAGCAAAGTGAGCACACAAGCTTCAATAAAGTTTTCATCAAAACAGAAGATGCAGTTAGATAGATAAAAATAGACCCTTTG